CTCTTAGGCCCCATCCCTAACAGCCATTAGACTACACTATCCTTGATGAGTGGATGCAGAGTTGGGTGAAAGATGCAGTGCCTTCATCCCACAGCTCGACAGAAGGCCAGGATATGGCCTATGTGTGTGCCTATGGGCACAATTTTGTCTCGCTCTGTGGAGCAAACAAGGAGAGAGTGTGGGAATGCACAAATCAGTTTGCTTTAGATAAGTAAGCACAATGGGCAGTCTGATAAGCCTGATATATTAAAACCCACAATTCACCAGCCAGCTATGCAAACAGTCTTGACTGTTTAGAGAGTCCACGTACAGCTTTGTATCAACTTTATTTTAGCTTGCCACATGGGGAGCCCAAATATAGCCAATAGTTTTCCAAGGAGAGAGATGCCAAATGTCACAGTGGGTCATAAACTCCTGTTCCAGGCAAACTGCAGAAGATTGAGTCTCACTGGGCTAAGAAGGAAGAAGATAACCATATGTCCAGAAATGCTTCATGTGTTTGTGGTGCGAGGTCAGAGAATAGTGGATTTAGTTAAACAGGAAGAGGGGACAAGTTGTGTCTCAGCCAGTGCTGTGAAAAAGAGGAGACATCCTAATCTCCAGGGTCTATTCTTACCACTGAGCTTTCACCATGTGGTATGGAAACATGAGCAGAAAGCAGCATGGTTGGGGATTCTTGCAGCTGTAAGTTTGGAAGCTGTGTTAGACTGATGCTATCTTGCAATATCCTGGACACATCTTATAGAATTAAGGTAAACTTTATTGAATTAAATTAAACCGTACTCTATTAGGGTTAATATCTTTGGGGTCCACTGTATTTAAAATCCAATTGTGTATCTGCTATTGTGGCATTGTATGTACGTTCTCTAATGGGGGGGGATGCTAATGTAATTCCTCCACTTAGCCCTTTGAAGCCACCCCTCTGGAGAGGTACGCATATATTTATTCAAACTGGATTCTCCGGGGACCAACAGACAAGAAAGGATTTTTGGATAAATAGCTTGGTTTAAAACAGGCTCAGGGTCTTCTTCCGGATCCAGCAAACAGACAGGATCCTGGTCCACACAGAGGGCTGCAGCTCTGAAGAAAGGGTTGGAAGGACTGGGCTTGTTGAGTCTCCACAAGACTGTGTGCTTGTGAGGTACTTGAAATCACAGGGAAACCCCTTGGATGGTTTGGATGAAGGACTCCTCCTGCCAGAGAAGCCCACGTTAGGGTTGGGTTATCTCTGGTAAGCTTATTAGCCTGCGTGTTGGTTTTTGTTTTTCATCTGCTTGCTCCAAAGTGCTTTTTACCTTTAAGAATAAAATAGGCTGCTTTAAAAGACCTGTGTGGTAACTTGCTACTCTGGGGAGTCACACTGTTAATTGTCTCTGAAGAGAAAGCAAGCAGGAGTGCTTGGGCAATCTGTCTCTGCTGGGAATAACACAGTTAAGGGAGGGAACTGTTCAACCTGGCGATAACTGATCTTAGAAGGGAGAGAGACTTGTGTCTCCACCTAAGGCCTGGTCTACACTAGGAGTTTATCTCGAATTTAGCAGCATTAAACCGAATTAACCCTGCACCCGTCCACACAACGAAGCCCTTTACTTCAATATAAAGGGCTCTTAATATCGATATCCGTACTCCTCCCCGATGAGGGGAGTAGCGCTGAAATCGGTATTGCCATTTCGGATTAGGGTTAATGTGGCCGCAATTCGACGGTATTGGCCTCCAGGAGCTATCCCACAGTGCACCATTGTGACCTCTCTGGACAGCAATCTGAACTCGGATGCACTGGCCAGATAGACAGGAAAAGCCCCGTGAACTTTTGAATTACATTTCCTGTTTGCCCAGTGTGCAGAACACAGGTGACCATGCAGAGCTCATCAGCACAGGTAACCATGCAGTCCGAGAATCGAAAAAAAGAGCACCAGCATGGACCATACGGGAGGTACTGGATCTGATCACTATATGGGGAGAGGATTCAGTGCTAGCAGAATTACGTTCCAAAAGACGAAATGCCAAAACATTTGAAAAAATCTCCAAGGGCATGATGGAGAGAGGCCACAATAGGGACTCACTACAGTACCATGTGAAAGTTAAGGAGCTCAGACAAGCCTATCAAAAAACAAAGGAGGCAAACGGTCGCTCTGGGTCAGAGCTGCAGACATGCCGCTTCTACGCTGAGCTGCATGCAATTGTAGGGGGGCCCGCCACCACTACCCCACCTCTGACCGTGGATTCCGAGGCGGGGGTAATCTCAGCCATGCCTGAGGATTCTGCGGATGGGGAAGAGGAGGAGGAGGAGGATGACGACGACGACGAGCTTGCGGAGAGCATACAGCACTCCATTCTCCCCAACAGCTAGGATCTTTTTCTTAGACTGACTGAAGCACCCTCCCAACCCCCAGACAACGAGGCCATGGAAGGGACCTCCGGTGAGTGTACCTTTGTAAATATAAAACATAGTTTAAAAGCAAGCATTTTTTAATGATTAATTTGCCCTGAGGACTTGGGATGCATTCGTGGCCAGTACAGCTACTGGAAAAGTCTGTTAACGTGTCTGGGGATGGAGCGGAAATCCTCCAGGGACATCTCCATGAAGCTCTCCTGGAGGTATTCCAAAAGCCTTTCCACAAGGTTTCTTGGCATTGCAGCCTTATTCCGTCCTCCATGGTAGGACACTTGACCACGCCATGCTAGTAGCACGTAATCTGGTATCATTACATGACAAAGCCTGGCAGCGTATGGTCCCGGTGTTTGCTGGCATTCAAGCAACATCCGTTCTTTATCTCACTGTGTTATCTTCCGGAGAGTGATATCGTTCATGGTAACCTGGTTGAAATACAGGAATTTAATTAAGGGGACAGAGGTGGCCGTTCCTACTGGGCTATTTGCCTGTGGCTGAAAAGAAATCTTTCCCTGCAGTTAGCCAAGCGGGGGGTGGGGAGAGAATCTTCCCTGATACCAGCCATGCGGTGGGGGGAGGGATAAAGCGATCATCCCAGAGAATTGGATGGGGGGGAGGGTAGTTTGGTTTCTGCTGCTGCACGTTAACAGGAAAACCGCAGCACTCAAAGGGCTTTGCTTGGTATGGGGGAAAGGAGGGCGCTGCTTGTAGGAAAGCTGCAGAAGCCGAAAGACAATGGCTTACCATGGCCGCATGCAAGCCGAATTCTGTTGCCCGGACCTGCGTCTGTGCTTTCTAACACCAAACCCGCAGGCACTCAATATTAAGATGCAAAATGTGACCTTGTATCGAAATCACATGTGCTATGTAATGTGAATAGTGTTGCTCACTGTGAAAGAGTATAAGCATTGTTCTGTAAAATGTATCTTTTAAAATACTTCTCTCCCTTTTTTCCCCTCCCTCCCGCAGCTGCAAATTTTTCAAGCCTCCCTCCTCCGTCCCGAAGGCTATCTCAGATAAGGCGTTGAAAAAAGAGGACGCGAGACAAAATGTTCTCGGAAATCATGGAATCCACCTGCAATGAAAGAGCTCATCTGAATGAGTGGAAGGACACGGTATCAAAGTACAGGAAAGATGCCAGTGAACGTGAGGCCATGAGGGATGCTCAAGATGAGAGGTGTCAGGCTGCAATGCTGGGGCTGCTGCGTGATCAAACGGACATGCTCCGGCGTCTGGTGGAGCTTCAGGAACGGCAGCAGGAGCAGAGAGTGCCGCTGCACCGCTGTATAACCTCCCTCCCCCCCCCATCATGTTCCATAGCCTCCTCACCCAGACGTGTAAGAACGTGAGGGGGGAGGCTCCGTGCACCCTCCCACTCCACCCCAGTGGATAGCCCAACCAAAAGGCTGTCATTACTTTGAACTTTTTTAGTGGCCTTTTCCTTGTGCTTGTTTCCCGGGCCTAGAATCGGCGTTCCACGGCATGAACCTGCCCCATTAACAGCATGATCTCCAAAGCGCCGGGGCCCGCGGTTTGATAGAATTCCATGTCCATGTCTTCATCACTCTCGTCGCCGCGCTGCCGTAGCCTACTCCTCGTCGCCTGGTTTTGCAGGTTCTGTTTCAACATAAACTGCACGATAACGCGCGAGGTGTTTACAATGTTCATGACTGCTGTCTTGAGCTGAGCGGGCTCCATGCTTGCCGCGGTATGGCGTCTGCACTGTTCACCCAGGAAAAAGGCGCGAAACGGTTGTCTGCCATTGCTCTCCTGGAGGGAGGCGGAGGATGTACCCAGAACCACTCGCGACAATGTTTTTGGCCCCATCAGGTATTGGGATCTCAACCCAGAATTCCAATGGGCAGAGGAGACTGCAGGAACTATGGGATAGCTATGGGATAGCTACCCACAGTGCAACGCTCCAGAAATCGACACTAGCCCCAGTACATGGACGCACACCGCCGAATTAATGTGCTTAGTGTGGCCGCATACATTCGACTTTATACAATCTGTTGCTAAAAACCGGTTTCTGTAAAATCGGAATAATCCCCTAGTGTAGACATATCCTAAGAGAGGTGAGGGTCAGGGGAGCCAGCAGCCTGAGAGCCGGTGCCCTTGCTGGACTGCTGAGGGGAAATACAGGGGCAGTTGCCCTGAACTGTGACAGTAACTTTGTCTGGACTGGCCTTGCCTTGCCTTTAAGTACCTGGAACCCACTGGCTGGTTTTCAGGTCCAAATGTTGGTTTTGTCAGAGCTATGTTATTTCTAAGGAATCAACAGACTAAGGGAGTCCTCTGCCTGCAGCCTTTGTGATACTGGTTGGATTTGTTATCCTGGGACAGCCAAAGGTAAATCCCAAATTGTACTCATCCAGAATGGATTCTGCTGCTGCCTGCCTGGGAGAGCTGTTGTCTTAAAACCTACCTAGTAGATCAGGTTGTTGCTCATTATTATTCAAATAATAATGAAATACAAATACTTTCCTTATTGTATGGTAGCTGAGCTGGGTGGGGCAGAAAAAGGAAGAGGTTATCCCCATTTGTAGACTAACTGCTAAAAGCTTTAACTCTCACTGAAATTTGGAAGAATTCTTGAAAGCCTGGAAAATATCTTTCACTCTTAGTGCATCATTGGTTTTATTTGAAAGATCCCATGTTATAACTCCTGAATTATAAGATCGGTTCTCTTCAACTCCTTTAAATTCTTCAATCCGGTGCCAAAGAAAAATAGTCCGAGATCAAAAAGAGAGAGTTACATCAGAACAGGATCTGAACTTTCAATAGAAGAGATTCATGCTGTTTCTAGGGAAGATTCTTTCTACCTAGGGATGGAAACATAATTATTTCTCTCAGGTCTGGAGATGTGTACATTTCAATTTTCTCTCTTCCTCCCTCCCTGTTCTGCTGACCCAGCATGGATTCATTCTTGGCTACAGACTGTACTTGCTGCTCAGATCTCTGCCGTGCATGGCAAAGGAGTTAGGTTAAAGGACTTTTCTTTTGTACACAATTCAGCACTATCGTCAACTGGGAGCATTCCAAATCATGAGCTTGGCTTACAAATCATGAGGTTTTTTTTAATTGGGTTATTATTTGCCTTCTGGTTTTGAGCCTTTAGGGCTCACTCAGTTCACATATTCAAGCTTTTATCTGCAATCATAAGGATTATAAACTTACTCTCCTCTCTCTTTTATAAATGAAAGCTGAGATTCTCACATGATCACTTGCTTCCAGGAACTGGAAGCCTGATAAGAAAAACAAACAAACACAAGTCACACAAGACTCACAGTAAGATGGCACAAGTTGGTAATAGCAGATCACAGGTACAGTATCTGCCCTCTCCACAGTGACAATCATTGGGAGCTGAAGCACAAAAAGATCCCAGGGATTGTGTGGAGTAACTGCGGTGTGTAAGGTTGTAGGTACAGCAGCAGAGGCCAAAGGTCATCCTCCATTTTGGAAGGAGGGGCAGTCAGCACTAGGCTGTGTTTAGAGTTATGTAATATTTCCATAAATATAACATGTGTTAATTACAAGTGCTCTGTGTTCTCATAAAGAGAACGCTGATTTTTAATAAAGGCTCTGGAGGCGATCCTGGCCATTACAGGCCAGTAAGCCTAACTTCAGTACCAGGCAAATTGGTTGAAACTATAGTAAATAATAGAATTATCAGACACATAGATGAACATGATATGTTGGGGAAGAGACAACACGGCTTTCATAAAGGGAAATCATGCCTCACCAATCTATTAGAATTCTTGGAAGGAGTCAACATGTGGACAAAGGTGCTCCAGTGGATACAGTGTCCTTTGACAAGGTCCCACTCCAACAGCTGTTAAGCAAACTAAGCAGTCATGGGATAAGAGGGAAGGTCCTCTCATGGATCAGTAACTGATAAGAAACAAAGGGTAGGAATAAATGATCAATTTTCACAATGGAGAGAGGCATATAGCAGGGTTCCCCAAGGAGCTGTACTGGGGCCTGTGCTGTTCAACATATTCATAAATGATCTAGAAAAGGGGGTGAACAATGAGGTGGCAAAATTTGCATATGATACAAATGTACTCAAGATAGTTAAGTCCAAAGCTGACTGCAGAGAGTTACAAAGGGATCTCACTATAGTGGATGAGTGGGCAACAAAATGGCAGATGAAATTCACTATTGATAGAGGCAATGTAATGCGTATTGGAAAACTTAATCCCAACTATAGATACTAAATGATGGGGTCTAAATTAGCTGTTATCAGTCAAAAAAGATCTTGGAGTCATCACGGATAGTTCCCTGAAAACATCTGCTCAATTTGCATCAGCAGCCAAAAAAGCGAACAGAATATTAGGAATGATTAGGAAAAGGATAGACAATAAGACAGAAAATAACATCATGACATTATATAAATCCATGGTACACCCACATACCTTGTATACGGTGTACAGTTTTTGGTCACTCCATCTCAAAAAAAGATGTATTAGAATTGGAAAAAGTACTGTTTGGGGAAAAATAATTAGGGGTATGGAACAGCTTGAGGGGAGATTAAAAAGACTGGGACTGTTTAGCTTAGAAAAGAGATGACTAAGGGGGAATATGATAGATGTCTATAAAACCATGAATGGTGTGGAAAAAGTGAATAGGGAAGTGTTATTTACCCTTCACATAACACAAGAACTAGGGGTCACCCAAAGAAATTAATAGGCAACAGGATTAAAACAAATAGAAGGAAGTACTTCTTCACACAACACACAGTCAACCTGTGTAACTCATTGCCAGGGAATGTTGTGAAGGCCAAAAGTATAACTGGGTTCAAAAAAGAATTAGATAACTTCATGGAGGATAGGTCCATCAGTGGCTGTTAGCCAAGATGGTCACGGACACAACCCCAAGCTCTGGGTGTCCCTAAACCTCTGACTGCCAGAAGCAGGGACTGGACGACAGGGGATGGATCCCTTGATAGCTGCCCTGTTCTGTTCATTCCCTCTGAACCATCTGGATTTAGCCACTGTCAGAAGATAGGATACTGAGCTTGATGGCCCATTGGTCTGACCCAGTATGGCCATACTTATGCTCTTATGAACAACGCAGGGATAAGGTCAGAGGACTAACAGCAGGTGAGGGGTTTTAGGCATGTTCTACAGGACGCAATGGTGCCCAGCCTGTAATACACTGTACAGAGACTCCAGTTACCAGCCTGTAGGAAGAGGAAGAATTAAGCCTGGATCCACAAACACAAGCAGAAGTACAGGAAATATATCAAATAATATCTGTCAAGCTGCAGTATGCAGTTCTCACACCCCTAAGGTTCCAGCACAAAGAGGAAACAGACACTACAGATGTATCTGAGATTGAGCTATACTGTATTTTAAAGGATAGCAGTGAATACATACCTGACAACACCTGAAAGCTATTAGAGACATTTGGGGAAAAAACTGATGCATACCTTTTAACTCCATTGAAATACACCTGGTGGGAGGAACAGAGAGAAACTGGTCAATATTTTGCTTATAAAATAGGAACTGACCAAAATAATAATAATAATTATTAATAATATTCTAATGGCTAACTAATTGCTGACACTACAGTGGTTCTCAACCAGGAGTACACGTACCCCTGGGAATATACAGAGGTCTTCCAGGGGATACCTCAACTCATCTAGATATTTGCCTAGTTTTACAACAGGCTACATAAAAAGCACTAGCAAAGTCAGTACAAAATAAAATTTTATACAGACAATGACTTGTCTATATACTATAAACTGAAATGTAAGTACAATATTTATATTTCAATTGATTTATTTTATAGTTATATGGTAAAATTGAGGGAGTAAGCAATTTTTCAGTAATGTGCTGTGACACTTGTATTTTTATGTCTGATTTTGTAAGCAAGTAGTTTTTAATTGAGGTGAAACTTGGGGGTACACAAGACAAATCAGAGTCTTGAAAGGGGTACAGTAGTCTGGAAAGGTTGAGAACCACTGCTGTACAACGTACACATAAAGACAGTTGAGTTTACAATCTAATAGAGACTTCTAGCAGGCATGGAAATACACACACACACACACACACCCAAATGATAATCATGGTCCCTGGTGAGGGAAACAGAATTGCATCACTACTGCCTTCTCCCCCATCTCAAGGTGGTCTACCCCCGTAGGAATCAGGAGGAGAGTAGTGTAGTGCAGGCTCCTTGGAAGTTTTCTCACCATGCATGTCTCTCACTGGGAGTGTGCAGTCTGTTACTTTTTGCTCAACAGATCTCTCCTCCTTTGAAGAAGTGAAAGAATCTTAGCAGCCTCTTCTCTCCCCTTCTCCTCCCTCTTGTCTGGTTAGTCACGTATAGAGGGAAGGACTTGATTTTTTCCCCCCCTCAAGGACTTGGGTTCCACTTCCTGCCCCCGGATCTCCTCCTTTGTCTCTTTCTGCCTGTCTGCTCCTGAAGGGCACACCTAAGGTGCAGGCAGAGAAGGGGTTAAACGTGGATGTGCTCAGAGGAAAGGGAAACACCCTACACTGCTAGGCTCTGAGTCAGTTTCACCTGAAACTCTACAGGTGGTGGAGAGAAAAACAGAGAAGAGGCACACAGAGTAGCTACTCAAGCGGGGGAAAGGGAAGTGCAATAGGAAGGGGGGGAAAGTCAGACAACGCTGTAGGAACCTGGGCTGGAGGACCCTATCTCGGCTACTAAGCAGGCAGAGGACTGGGCTGTACTCAACAAAGAAGAACCCGGAGGCGTCACACCTGCACCTGGAACCTAGTGTCGGAGCAGAACATCCGGGTCCGCCGCGCTTGGAAAGGTAGGTTTTATATTCATGCTGCTTCGTTAATAAGTTAAATGGGGCCACAAGGAACGGAAAACCGGGGGAGGGGGCTGAAATATGACCCCTCTCCTCCTAGTGTGTCTTAAAGAGCCAGCCAGAGAAATGGTTACTTTGTCAGTCTTTTAACTTGTCTTCTCTCACCTCCGCTCTTCCCGCCCCACCAGGAAGCTCAGAGCTTGGAGACGGAGAGAAAAGACCCGAGTTAAGATGGCCAGCGACAGAGCCCTGCTCCAGGCTGGCTTCCTGATCCAGCTGCTGATGGCTGCTGTTCTGGGTCAGGAGGGAGGAGAGGAGGGAGCGTCCTTTGGCGAAACCTGCCTGGCCCATTTCACTACAGGGATGCCTGAGTTCGTGCTGGACACTGATGCCTCGGTGCAGAATGGGGCCACCTTCCTGCCCTCCCCCCCGGTTCGTCGGGGCAAGGAGTGCGTGCGGGCTTGCTGTAAGGAGCCTTCTTGCAACCTGGCCCTGGTGGAGCAGAAGCCACACGAGGGGGAAGACAGCATCGAAGCCTGCTTCCTCCTGGACTGCCTCTACGAGCAAGCTTTTGTCTGCAAGTTTGCCAGGAAGGTGGGCTTTCTCAACTACGTCAAGAGGGACGTGTACGATGCCTACGTGAAAGTGCGGGACCAAGGACATGGTGGTGAGCAGACACAATAAGCCTATGATTGAACTCATGGCTGGGTGTGTTCATTTCAATCCGCCCAGGTCCTTCTCTCCCCCTTCCATTGTAAACGAGGTGGCTGCGTTGTCAAATAGTTGGAGTAAGGGTCTGAGAGTTAAGGCTCTGCCGCTCGTTCACTCCCCAACGTCAGTCGGATGTCTTAAAAACTCTGTGCCTCAGTTTACCCAGGAGGGGAGATGGGGTAATACAGTACTTCTCTGGAGGGGCTTAATAATTAACTGAGTGCCAAAAATGGTCTTGGTGTAGTACAAAAATAGAGCAAGATGTGGTCCTTCCCACAAGGAATTTAGAATAGAAACTTGAAATCACATTAAATCTAAATATTGTAATGTTTTTAGCCGTGGTTCACTAATACCTGAATTGTGAAGGGGCTGGAGGCAGTGAGGGGGTTCTCAGGTATGGAATCCATTTCCCCTCTTGGTGTGCCAAGGTCTGGATCCACTTAGGTGGCAAGGCCTTTGGTTTGCTAGGCTTTTGGCTTTTTGTGGGCAGGAATGAATTGTTATTTGAATGGGTTGGATGTGAGAACTTGAGTTTTTTGAATGGGTTTCAGGGAGTCTTTTATTTGGATTTTTGGATCATAACTGTTTAAGTGAAAACTTTATAAAGGTTGCATCTGTGTGTAGGGCACTGGATGGGAAGCACTTTCAGAAAGTAAAATCACCTGTAGTTGACCTCTTGTAAAGCATTTTGAAGTCTCCAGCTGAAAGGTACCGTAAACATGCAAAGTATTAAGATATATAGCTATGGGTCTGGCACCAACTTTTCTCCTTCTCACCCCCAAAATGTCTTGCAGTACTGGAGCCTGTTTTGTAGTTGGATCAGGTCTCTGGTCACTACTGGCTTTTTGAATCTATGTGGTTTGGACCCAACAAGTTGGTAGTTACAAGAGGCTGTTCCGAGGTTATTTGAATATGCCGATCTTTTTCTCTCCTCCCAAAACAGCTGTGGGATGGCGGGGATGGTTCTATTAAGAGTACCAGCTACTAAGGACACCAGTGTGGCAGGTGTATGGGCAGGTAGTTATAGGCTCTCCTGGGTGAGATGAGAGGTCTCTGATGCCATGATTTCTATGGGAAGTTGCAAGAATACCAAAAAGACCCCATGTGCTGGAAACATAAGTTCAAGAGCAGGGAAATGTGGAATTGATTAGTTCTGTTATTTATAGAAGACAACACAAAGGAGGAAGTTCAAGATGGTGTAGCTACCCAAACAACGCCTAGTAATCCTCCCATGCTGAGCCTTGAATGTTACTGCCTCTCACCGCTTCTCTCGCACCACTGCTGGGATGTGTATCTTCTCTCATTGTAATATGTCTCTTGTTCATCTCTGCTGGATCTCTTCTATGCCTTGATTGTAGGCTGAGGGCCTCCTTCTCAAAAACAAAGATGAGTTAAACCCGTTACTCTGTAATCGATATCCTACAAACCAAGGTGTGGGGCACAGACATTAATCTTAACTAACTTTTAAATGTTATGTTCTATCCTCTTTCCCACTGCACTTAAGTCTCGTTGGTTCAACAAATTTATCCCAAAATAAGCAATGCCAGAAGCCGCACTCTATGGTAGTTCAGAAATCACAGAACAATGCATTCTGGGATCTCTCCACTGCAACAGGAAGTACTAAGGAGACTAATCAGAGGAGAGAAAATCATTGAAAGGTTCTGTTGGGAATGCCACCCAAAACCTGCTTAATAGGGCGTTCAGCTCCTCTCTCATGCTGGATTTACACCACATGGATGTTGAAAAGACTCATTCCATCCAACATCCCCTGTCTTCATTTCCTTCTTGTACGGTACTTGTGACAGCATACCATAGCACAGAAACCAGGAAGTTTGCAATTCCTATTTTCTCAGCATCCTAGTGAGACAACTTTGTTAAACTACAATGCTCATGACACTCTTGGATGGAAAGCATGTTTTCCTCCTCTTAAACTAGTTTTTAACTTGCAGCAAAACCTTTGTAGTTTACCTTATGTGAAACAGAAGGGTTGCTGAGAAGAGACACAGGATGATTACTGACTAACATTCCAAGCCTGAGAAGAGGGGTGAAAAATAAAGGATGACCAATCAAACTATATTAGATTGTCCCTAGTTTACAGCAGGATTGTTTGGACATTCTAGAACTTTTGGTTCAGAGCCAAAAAATATTCCACAGTATGATGACATAACTAGGTCAGCGGAAGAGGAATTCAGCATAGAATAAAGGGCTTGTTTTAGCAGGAGAGGTGAGTGCATCACTTCCGCTGTATGGGAGAGAGGAGCAAGTTTGCAAGGGTGTATTTCCAGGACAGCAGATTGCCTCTAGGCAATGACTGCACCTTGCTGGTGCTGAAAAAGAAATTAGTCATTTTTACTTTAAGACTTTTTGCGGAAGCTATCATAGTATTACTACTTATACTACTGTTAGGGTGTCCGGTTTTCGATAGGAACCCCTGGTTGAAAAGAGACCCTGCTGGCTCCAGTCAGCACTGCTGACCGGGTTGTTAAAAGTCCAGTTGGCGGCACAGCGGGGCTAAGGCAGGCTCCCTGGCTCCGTGCAGCTCCTAGAAGCGAATGGCATGTCCTGCTCCTAGGTGCAGGGATAATCAGGGAAGCTCTGCGTACTGCACCCCCCCACCCCTCAGTGCTGGCTCCGCAGCTCCCATTGGGCGGCCAATGGGAGCTGTGGGGGTGGCACTTATGGGCACGGGCAGAGCAGCCTAGGGGCCACAGGGATGTGCCAGCTGCTTCCGGGAGCTGCACGGAGCCAGGGCAGGCAGGGAGCCTGCCTTAGCCCAGCTGCGCCACCGACTCGGAGCTGCTGGAGGTAAGTGCCGCCCTTCTGGAGACCATGCCCTGATCTCCCTCCCGCACCCCAATCCCCTGCCCCAGGTTGGAATCCCGTCCCGCACCTTAACTCCCTTCCAGAGCCCTCACCCCTCTTGCATCTCGACCCCCTGCCCCAGTCCTGAGCCCCCTCCCGCACCTTAACTCCCTCCCAGAGCCTGCACCCCAGCCCAGAGCCCCCTCCTGGAGGCTGCACTCCTCCCGCACCCAACCCTCTGCCCCAGCCCTGAGTCTGCTCCTGTCCTCTGAACCCCTCGGCACCAGCCCAGGGCACCCTCCTGCACCCCAAACTCCTTATCGCTGCTGGCCCCACCCCAGAGCCCGCACCCCCAGCCAGAGCCATCACCCCCTGCCCCAGCCCAGTGAAACTGAGTGAGGGTGGGGAGAGCGAGCAACGATGGGAGGGGGAATGGAGTGAGTGGGGACAGGGCCACGGAGAAGGGGTGGAGGTGTTCAGTTTTGTGCTATTAGAAAGTTGGTAACCCTAAATAATACTGACATTCCCGGTTTAGTCTTGCAGTAGAGACTAGACAGACCATACAGTCTTCACAAGTTGTACTACAGTTATCATGCTAAAGCTCCAGAATGCAGCACTGCTTGAGACTACACACTATTGCCAACCCCCAAACATTTAAAAATCATGAGTCAGGCCCTAATAAAATCAGGAGACTGATGTAAAAATCATGAGATTTAAAAACCATATTTGGGGGTCTCTTTTTCTTCTGGATTCTGAGCCTTTACTAAGCATTTGGGTTATATTTTTCTAGTCCCCTCGCAATAATGAAGGCGAGAAACTTTTCAAAATGAAAGCTGTGTTTCTCCTGCCAACTTGTGATTCCAGCTGCTGGGACTTTTAGAAAAAACACCAAAATCATGAAACTCAGGATAAAATTGCAAGCGTTGGTAACACTGAGTCTAAAATACAACTTTGGGGTCTCATCTAAGAGTGTTTTCACTGTGCTAGGGGGATGCTCTGATTTAAGTAGGTCCCATATCAAGGCAACAATCAT